GGTTTGGGGAATTAAAAAACTAAGAAGCTCATATAGGTTTAAAGGCTAGGTGTCCACAAATGATTAGCCATATGGTATATGATTATATTATTGTGGTAACTGTTTGGGGAAGACCCTTTTCTGTTCCACAATGAATGTGCCCCTGTGTCCTTGACCAAACTCAAAAAAAAAAAATTAGCATAGAGCCAACAAAACTGGGTAAAAAGGGGAAGCAAGGGAGAGATAGGGTTAATGAAGGAAGCGGAAACTAGGAACTACTTACCAGGATTGGTGGATTTGATATTCTAGGAGGGGCATCAAGGGGGGTATAGGTGGGAATGGGATAACTTTCAGCAGTGGAGAAGTCAGTGAGTGAAGGAAAAACTCCCCCCCCCCTCCCGCCCTGCATTTTTAAATTCTTTACCCTTAGTTATTGTAGTAGCCAGGCAGTTGGGATTTTTGGAGGCGTTTATGATTAACAGTGATATCACCTACTAGTGACCCATCTATGGTATGGTGTCCTATGGAGAATGTCCAGTTAACAGTGGGTTAACTGGGAAGTTGCGACATGGAGGTATCTGAGGAGAGTGGGTTTGTCCCCGAGCCAGTGTCTTGCGGCTGGAAACCATTAAGTGTTCCTCGTATACAGAAATGGTGGTTGGTCCTTCTGTGCCTTCAAAGATAAGCAACCTTAATGATTACTGTTTATCCTTATGTTTTTGTTTAATGGAATGTTTTACATTGGTCATTAGTTAATAAATGGCCACTATGGCCAATTTTCAACCAAATCAGTGTTGGTCTGATCATTTAGGTATAACTGATATGTGATGGGGGCTTGGTGGTTTGACGGAGTGAACGGTGACTTCTGGTTTACCCTAGTGCAGACATGACTTGATTAGTTTGGTGTGAAGGAACTTCAGTGGCCTGCACAGAGCTCTGATCACAACTCTACTTAACCCCTCTGGCATATATTGGAACTCTGATTGCAACCCAAGTCTACTCATCCAATGTCAGTAAATGACCTCACAGATGATCTTTTCTCTGAATGGGTACCTATTCCTACAGACACATTCCAAAATCTCATGGAAAGTCTTCCAGGAGAGTGAATGCCGTTATAGCCGAAATGGTGGCAACACCATATTAATACACATGGTTTGGGGAATTATATAGCTAAAAAGCTCATGTACTGTAGGTTTCAATGTCAGGTCTATACAAACAATTGGCCATATAGTACATTACCATATTATTAATATTATTTTGCAACATATTGGTAATAGTGTGAACACAATCAGTATGCTTGCTGAACAAGTGCAAGACAATCAGCGAAAGAATAAGTCAACCGAAGAAAGCATTGTTTTCAAGTCTATTGACAGAGCTGTGAGCGAAGATTTACACTGAGATGTAAACATTTGTCACGTCAATAGACCGCATCATTCTAATACTTCCAGTGTGTACAGTATTTGTCAGCAAGAATTGTTAGCTAATTCAGCTGAAGTGATTATATATTACTCACTCAGCTTGTAGGAAATAGCCCTAGGTCTCGGAAAAAGAAAGGAAAAGAAGCAAGCGTAGTAAGTTCCTGAGAACGATACTAAACAATGGTGTGAGGAGCTTCTGATTCAGTTACAAGTCACCGTACTGAAGAATGGATTAAACAGATTTCAGCTGCAGAATGAGCAGCTGTGTGCAAAAAATAAAGAGTAAAAATAGTAAGTTGACCGAAAACTTTTGTTTCAAGTATTATTGGGCATTGGAGAGCTGAGTCACCAAATTGCTCCCTAAAGGCCTTAGAGACCCCAAGCATAAAATAAAGTTGAAAAAGTAAGTAACATATAAAAAAAATAAAAATAAAAATAAAACTCCTCCACCCCTGTGTACATCCACTTAAGAACATAAATGCATCTTGCAGGTGCACCTGTGTAAGAAAACGATAATTCCATTATACATGTTACCTGTGTTACTGTAAGAGCAATAATTCTAGAGCCATTATTCAGAGTTAGCTCTAAACTGATGACCTGAAAAGACTTCTAAATGATGACGTTTTGGAGTGCCAATGTTTTAAGGTTTGACATGCTGGGTATCTAGATATGCAGTGCAACCTCATCTGTTATATCTTACCAAAAAATAGATAATGCAGGTAAATAGATAATACATTGTGTTTGCATGCACTAAAATTACTGTGGCTTTATTGTGTTTTTTTTTTTTTTTATTGGAAATTTGCATTTGATAAACATTCACTAACATCATGTGAGATAAAAAAAATCAACTACCACCATTTTTTTTTTCGAGGATCTTTGTTTTCAGAAAATATATAATGTTTAGGAGGTTTAACTAATCTTCAAGCCTAAAATTTGAATATTAACATGTTTGCAAAAAAAAATGGCTCTGGTAGACAAGCTCTTAGGGTAGATTTAGTCGTGACACCTCCTCACCACCTGTTTAACCCAATTGTTGCCATCAAACGTGCTGCAACCATGTGCATTGCATGCAATTTCAAGGTGTTTGCAGCGCTTCCCTATTTGCTTGGGTGTGTAGCATGATCACTACATGTCGGGTAAACTTTGCCGCAGGCATAAAGCAAACCATAGCAAATGTAGAGTGTAAACACCCCTGTCTGCTGCCTATTGTAGCTTAAGGAGGAGGCTGTTGGCGGTTGGCAAAATGGGGCTCAACCACGCATTTTTGCCTACCCCCAACCACACGTCTAAATTATGCCTTATGGACATGTAAGACTTTTTTTATACATTGTTTTAATAAAAAGACCCTCATTTTTTTTTCATTTTATTTTACAGTAAATGGACAAATAAACAAGAATGTTGTTGCACTTTTAATCACTTTTCAAAGCTTTTCAACTGTAACCGGCAGGACTGTTTGTAAACAAACTTCATATAACCACCATGGATTGGCTATAATGGCGATAGGAAACCAAGCTCATTGGTTCCTGATTGCTGCTCTGAGCCCAGCAGCTGGCCTCAGGACTAGGACTGTGCACATGTGCACAGTGGGATTCAGTCATAGCTGCTTAAAGTCCTATTCTGCTTGAGTGCTGGTTCACACTAAGGCTAGGTTCACACCTATGCAGGTTGCGTTTGAGCCGTTTTTGCATTGCGTTTTGCGTTGCATTTTTGCATTTGTGTTTTAGATGTGCTTTGCGTTTTATTTTAATTTTTTCATTTTTCTTGTTGCTAGGCAGATTTAAAATGCAGAACGCATCAAAGACGCAGCAAGAATGCAATACATGCTTTTCTGAAGCATTTCCATTGAAATATGTAGAAACAAAAATGTAACTTTTTGCGTTCAAAAAATTAATTGACCCTTTAAAAAAAAATGTACCAGGTGAAAACGCACAGGTGTGAAATCATGTTAAATGGACTGCACTGCATTTCTGCAAAATGCTGCAGAAAATGCTTAGCTGTGAACCTAGGGTAATGACGTGGGATTCTCAGCGATTCCTGTGCGTTTCCCGCACCGCATCACAATCTCACTCCATTCATGCAAAACCACTGCAGGTATCTGTGTTAAGTTAACACCCCAAAAACAATTTGCAAAAGACAGTGCAATTGGCTGGTTCGAATCCATGCAATCCGATTCCAGTGCAGAAAAAAAAAGGTGCCTGCACCTTCCGTGCAGGTGATTCCAATTTGCAGTGTGATTTGAGCCAAACAAAATGAACTGCTCTATTCACCCTGCAAAGAATGGCATGTGAATTGAATAGGATTCCAGTGTGATTCCTGTCTGAATCCCATGCAGTTTCTAGCACTGCAATAGTGTGAACCGGGACTGAATATTGGTGTCCTAAGATCCCCTGGCACAAACCACACGACCAATGCCTCATCAATGACCAGTAACTGACCAGTAACAGTTGGATGTATTGTCTGTTTGTAAACTAACTCATATAACATGGTGGTTGATGAATTGTAAGACTGTCTGTATGTATATTTCAGTGCTGGTCCACTTTAAAGAGAGCTAGTATTGGGAAAGATATGTAACCTGCCATTGGGGCCTCTTTTTTAAAAATGCCAGTTGTTTGGCCATCATTGTTTCCATACTTTCAATGTCTTGGAACAATTATGTCAGAAAGTGAAGTCATAACCTTCAATTGGTATGCTTTTACAGGTCAAATCAGCCAAGCAACAAGGAACACTCACTATCCTCCTCTATCTAATTGCCACAAAAATAAAGAAAAGCTGAACGTAATGGAAAAGCTGCTTAGTAAAGGAGTCCTCAAAGGTCTTGAAGAGTCCAGCTATGGCACGGTGATGTGATAATGAGGGATGGACGGTGATAAATTGCAAGTGCTGGATAACTAGATGGTAGCACCAAGGGACACATGACCTTATCAGAGACCCAGACTTCTGGATTGCAAGTGCTGGATAACTAGATGGTAGCACCAAGGGACACATGACTGTAGAGTCAAGTAGGTGAATTAGGGGATTAAAATGGTTTACAAACTGATATGAGGGGTTTAATTTTTGTCAGGAGATGGGCTTTAAAGCCTAACCCTGGGCAGATTACCTTCAATAATTTCAAAAATGCAAATGTAGCCCTCACCCCCTTAAGGGCCCCTGAATTTTATGGGTCCCCCTAATCTCTGCATGGCCAGGCAGTACGCATTTTCCACAACTTTACACACAGAGTCAGTAAAACAGTCCTTGATCTTGATTTTTTTTGTTTTTTATTAGGGATTAACATCTTAAAAGGGGTCTAGGGGTATATGGGGTGCCCAAGGGAATGGAAACATGAGGACAAACTTCTCATTAACTGTACAAAAATGTGGACTAAAAAAGTAGCAATTCTCTCTAACCGCCTCCCGCCCGCCATATAAGGAAATGACGGGCGGAAGGCGGTTCTCTCGTTCTGTTCTGTCATATGACGTCCTCCCACTCTAACCACATGTGTACTCCCCAAGAAAAAGGGGGCGCGCAGCGATCGGTGGTGCGCTTCGGCCCTGGGACACAGCGGATCAGCGGAAAAAATTCCAGCCGATGACTTCGGAAGCTCTGTCATGTGACAGATGACAGCTGTGTTCCAATCACAGCTGATCGCATGTCAAATAAGGAAATGCCGGTTATCGGCATTTCTCTCAGTTCACGAACTGTCACGATCTGCAACACAGCTCGTGAGGAGAGGAGAGCCAGTAATTGGCATTCCTCAGAGGGGGACCATCTACACTGATCATCAGGGACACTGATGATCATGTGTGCCCACGTGATGATCAGTGTTAGCCCCATCAGCGCCACCTGTCCATGTCCATCAATGCCATCTGTCATTGCCCCCATCAATGCAGTGTCCATAACAGTGCCTACCAGTGCCTACATCAATGCCACATATCAGTGCCCATCTGAGCTGCCTTTCAGTGCCACCTATCAGTGCCAGTCAGTGCCACTATCAGTGTCAGTCAGTGCCGCCTATGAGTGATGCCAATCAGTGCCATCTATCAATGCCAGTCAGTGCCGCCTATCAGTGCCCGTCAGCGACACTGCAGTGCCCATCAGTGCCACCTAACAGTTCCAGTCAGTACCACCTAACAGTGCCAGTCAGTGCCACCTATCAGTGCCAGTCAGTGCCATATCAGTGCCATATGATGAGTACTGCCTTTCAGTGCCCATCAGTGATGTCTGTGAATGCCCGCCAGTGATGCCTGTCAATGCCCATCAGTGCCACCTACCAGTGCCTCCTCATCAGTGCTTCCTATCAGTGCCCATCAGTGCAGCCTATCAGTGTCCATCACTGCAGCCTCATTAGCGCACATTAGTGAAGGAGAAAAATTACTCATTTACAAAATCTTATAACAGAAACTAAGAAAAACTTTTAAAAAAAAAAAAAAATTTTCAGTTGTTTTTGGTTTGTTTATAAAAAATAAAAAAACACAGCGGTGAATAAATACCACTAAAAGAAAGCTCTACCTATCTAAAAAAAAATTATAAAAATGGCATATGGGTACAGTGTTGCATGACCATGCAATTGTCATTCAAAGTGCGACAGCTCTGAAAGCTGAAAATTGGCCTGGGCAGGAAGGGGGTGAAAGTGCCCGGTAGGCAAGTGGTTAAGGAGCACTGATGTCTCCTTTGGTGTACCTCCTCAGACCCCAGATGAATCCTTCCTCTTTCATCCTAATGTCCTGAGGGTATCCCTGGGCAAGGGATTCCAAGATCTGCAATTAAGTAGTCCTGGATGAGAACTAGTTGGGTATTGCACCTGATCGCCCTCTCCCTTCTCAGCCCCCTAGCCCAGGGGGTCTGGAAGTACTTACACTGTCCTGTAGCTTAGTAGGTTGCAGCTACTTTCAGGCCTTATGCTGGGCTGACTCCTCCCCTGCTGACAGGATGTCCTCCCTAGGTGACTTGTGGCACAGTGGACATCCTTCCATCCAGCACCAGCCTGTAGGTAGTTCTCCCTCCCTGGGTCCCCCTCTCAGGCTCCACACTCCAGCACCTTCTCTCAGTCCATCTTCTACCCGATTCTCACACTAACCTCTGCTGCACAGGCTCTCTCACATTTAATGTTTGCTTTAGCCACCATGTCCAGCCTTCTGTCTGGGGATTGGCCAAGTTCCCTTAAACATGCAAATCTACTACCCTCCTTTGCCCCTCTTCCAGAAATTTTGAGCTGTTTCTGGAAGGGTGGGAGGACTCCAGAAGCCACGACCTGTAGAGCTTCCCAGCCTGTCCTGAGGTGACCTCTCTGTCTCAATCTCAGGCTGACTCATCCCAGACTTTTAACAAGCCTCTAACTTACAACACTCCTATCTAGCTAAACTAGAGGGCACTACACAAACATCCCTGCTCATCAGAAGGACCTCACTGTCATGAAGGTATACTTCTAAGTCCTGCAAATCAGATGGAATACATTACGGTGGAAGTTCGGCTCCAACTGTACTCTCTCTGAATCTGCTCCCTATACAAAAATCTGGCGCCTTGACTTGTCCCTTCTCACTGACAAATACCAAGCAGATGAAATTCACTCATGTATCCATAATTTCTTTACTGAAAATGATATTCCAGAAGTTACTCCCATGACACAATGGGAAGCCTATAAATCTGTTGTCAGGGGCACCCTCTTAGCAATGGCCACTGCAAGGAAAAAAAAGCATCAAGCTCTGATCTTGAAACTCATAGACCAAATTAAATTACTAGAATTGGTACACAAACAGTCATGTGCTCAGCAAACATATAATGATCTTACCCAGACCAGAACGCTCTTACTAGAAGAACTAGGACGTAAGGTGAAACGCAAATTTGTACTCTCAAATAAACTTTTTTCAATTCAAGAGAGCAGATCTCACAATACACCATATTCAGGATCCTCATGGTAAAACCCTTTCTGCTATGGCAGATATAGCTGCCCAGTTTGAACGTTATTATTTGGGACTATATAACCTACCCCCAACAACACACATACCCTATACCCTAGAAAGCAAATGATCATGGACTTCCTACAACAATACTGCCCAAAACCTATATCAGCTTTGTTTGCCAATGAATTAGAAAGACCTATATCCGGAGAAGAATTGTGAATAGCAATCACACAACTCAAAAATGGGAAAAGCCCAGGCCCGATGGGTTTACAAACTGCGTACTATAAAACATTTCAAGCTATATTCCTTGGTCCTTTTTTAAGAGCCTTCAACTTCTTAGTGTCTACTACACTGCCAACCAAAAGTATATTAAAAGCACACATCAGTCATCCCAAAGGAAGGTAAAGATGCTACATCAGTCACCAACTACCAACTCATTTCCCTACTAAATGTAGACCAGAAACTATTCACAAAGATCTTAACTAGAGATGAGCGAATTATTCAAAAATTCGATTCGGCTGATTCGGCGAATTCGCGGAATAAATTCGATTCGAGTCGAATATATTTGCTGCGAATTTAACTTATAAAAAGGGTGTTTCTAGGCTTCAGAGAGCCTTTATATTAGTGCAGGACACTGTACCTTTAATTTAAATGCCCTTGGAGTCTGCTGGGGAAGAGAAATAATACTGTCAGTCAGTATGACATGCAGATGAGTGCCGTCGATCTTAGAATCACCGCACACTTCACTCATTTGGGCAGTCACGGGGCCAAAACCAGAGTGTGGAGCCACAGTGTGGTGGTGGAGGCAGCAGCAATGGGAGGCCATACAGCACCCTATGAAAAAATGGAACCCACCAGCAGTGTGAGGAGACCTGAAAGTGGCACATGGCAGAGTGTGGCGATGGAGACAGCAGCAATGGGAGGCCGTACAGGGACCCATGACACACTCTGGACCTGGCAGCAGCATGAGGAGGCGGTACAGGGGCCCATGACAGATTACGGGCCTGGCAGCAGCATGAGGAGTCGGTATGGGGGCCCATGGCAGATTACGGGCCTGGCAGCAGCAATGGGAGGCCGTACAGGGACCCATGACACACTCTGGACCTGGCAGCAGCATGAGGAGTCGGTACGGGGGCCCATGACAGATTACGGGCCTGGCAGCGGCAATGGGAGGCCATACAGCACCCTATGACAAAATGGAACCCACCAGCAGTGTGAGGAGACCTGAAAGTGGCACATGGCAGAGTGTGGCGATGGAGACAGCAGCACTGGGAGGCCGTACAGGGACCCATGACACACTCTGGACCTGGCAGCAGCATGAGGAGGCGGTACAGGGGCCCATGACAGATTACGGGCCTGGCAGCAGCATGAGGAGTCGGTACGGGGGCCCATGGCAGATTACAGGCCTGGCAGCAGCAATGGGAGGCCCGTAATCTGCCAGCACCCTATGACAAAATGGAACCCCACCAGCAGTGTGAGGAGACCTGAAAGTAGCACATGGCAGAGTGTGGCGATGGAGACAGCAGCAATGGGAGGCCGTACAGGGACCCATGACACACTCTGGACCTGGCAGCAGCATGAGGAGGCGGTACAGGGGCCCATGACCCAGATTACGGGCCTGGCAGCAGCATGAGGAGTCGGTACGGGGGCCCATGGCAGATTACGGGCCTGGCAGCAGCAATGGGAGGCCCGTAATCTGCCAGCACCCTATGACAAAATGGAACCCACCAGCAGTGTGAGGAGACCTGAAAGTGGCACATGGCAGAGTGTGGCGATGGAGACAGCAGCAATGGGAGGCCGTACAGGGACCCATGACACACTCTGGACCTGGCAGCAGCATGAGGAGGCGGTACAGGGGCCCGTGACAGATTACGGGCCTGGCAGCAGCATGAGGAGTCGGTACGGGGGCCCATGGCAGATTACGGGCCTGGCAGCAGCAATGGGAGGCCCGTAATCTGCCAGCACCCTATGACAAAATGGAACCCACCAGCAGTGTGAGGAGACCTGAAAGTGGCACATGGCAGAGTGTGGCGATGGAGACAGCAGCAATGGGAGGCCGTACAGGGACCCATGACACACTCTGGACCTGGCAGCAGCATGAGAAGGCGGTACAGGGGCCCATGACAGATTACGGGCCATGGCAGCAGCATGAGGAGTCGGTACGGGGACCCATGGCAGATTACGGGCCTGGCAGCAGCAATGGGAGGCCCGTAATCTGCCAGCACCCTATGACAAAATGGAACCCACCAGCAGTGTGAGGAGACCTGAAAGTGGCACATGGCAGAGTGTGGCGATGGAGACAGCAGCAATGGGAGGCCGTACAGGGGACCCATGACACACTCTGGACCTGGCAGCAGCATGAGGAGGCGGTACAGGGGCCCATGACAGATTACTGGCCTGGCAGCAGCATGAGGAGTCGGTACGGGGGCCCATGGCAGATTACGGGCCTGGCAGCAGCAATGGGAGGCCCGTAATCTGCCAGCACCCTATGACAAAAGAAAGACTGCTAACGGAATCCGTGAAGAGGAGTAGCAGGAGAAGGAGCATCTGAACGAGCGGAAGATGCCAACGAGCGACAACTCCCCTCAGCAGAGGTGTTGGAGCCTTGACTGGCTGATAGAGGGCGATTGACGTCGGGTGACGGAGCAAGTAACGGAGCGGGTGATGGAGCGGGGGCTGGGGCAGGCAGAACCGCCGTATCTTTATCACAGTTTTCCCAGGCCACCGAATGGCGACGCTGCATATCCTGACGCAACGCTGTAGTCCCAACATGGGCCCCCTGGCCACGCTTGACTTTCTGGCCACATAGTCGACATAATGGTCTACGTTTACTTCCTCGGGCGGCTTGACGAAAAATTGCCACACCGCCGCCGAGTAGGAAACTTTGCCCCCGCTACTCCTCACTGGCTGACTGCTACTTCCTCCGTGCACACCGGCACCACTACTGGCCGTGGTGGTAGGCTGCAGTGGAGCTGGTGCTCTACTCCGTGGCCGTTTGCCTCCACCGACACTGCTGCGACCCTGCGTGCCTCCTGGGCAACCCACCGACTGTTTTGCTCGCTGCCAAGCTGGCACCCTCTTCTCCTGATGAAGTCGGAAGCAATAGCCTGATGTCCCTGAGTAACGATTCTGTGTCCCTCAGTAACAATTCTGTGTCCCTGAGTAACAATTCTGTGTCCCTGAGTATCAATTCTGTGTCTGTCCCTGAGTAACAATTCTGTGTCCCTGAGTAACAATTCTGTGTCCCTGAGTAACGATTCTGTGTCCCTCAGTATCAATTCTGTGTCCCTGAGTAACATTTCTGTGTCCCTGAGTAACAATTCTGTGTCTGTCCCTGAGTAACAATTCTGTGTCCCTGAGTAACAATTCTGTTTCCCTGAGTAACGATTCTGTGTCCCTGAGTAACAATTCTGTGTCCCTGAGTAACGATTCTGTGTCCCTCAGTAACAA